TTTTAAAAAATTAGGTATTTATGTTGCATGTGATTCTGATTCTGATATTGATATGATATTATGTGGAATCATTTGGTCAGTGCATCTATATATGTATATATGTGTGTGTATATGCATGTGTGAAACTTCGTTTTACGATATTTGATATACGTATTTGATCGTGTTGGTGAATTTATAAAAAGGAGGATAGGTGGGCCGTCTCACCAGCCCTTTTCATTAAATTCACTTATTGACATGCTGCACACATTGCACGATTTATCGGATATGTTTTATGGATCTATCGTTTAGTCGCCGTGTGCGGTAGTGCTAGGCGAGGGCATCATCTGGGGTTAGGATATTCGACCCCGATGTACCGTAACACTTTGGCGATAGTGGACGATAGTAGTCGGACAACTGGGTGACTTAGTCGCACGGTCATTCAGGGATTAGACCCATTGCAGTTGAGACGTATTTGGTCTAATCATTCGGGTTCGGTGTTGTTCCACTCATTGGAGTAGCTACTAGTGAGGTCTACCGGTAGTTTAGGATTAGATGCCAAACTCCAAACGCGATCCCGTTAGGGCGTGCGAGGAGGAGTAGAGTTTCCGGGTTTCCTTCGGGTGATTCCAGGTTGCACGGATTCTACTACGTTACACGGGGTAGGGCTAGACAGGAGGGTCCTATCTTCGCTATCACAGACTATGGGGTGTCTTGTGGTTAATGGCGACAACGTTCGACTATCCATGTATTGATTGCGGGAGTCGTATGGTGGGTATATGGGAGTGACCGGGTGACCGTTATATTATTATGGGTTTACCAGGTCCTTCCTTGAGCCGAGGATTTTCCGGCTATTTATTGATGATAGTCTAGTGAGCTGTTATTATGGAGCCGAGGTTATTCCGGCTGCTCACTTTGACATATGTATATGGGTATATGTGCATGAGTTGTCGATTTTGACATTATTGTTACATTATTTCAGTATGGGCATGGCATGGCATTTATTTTGCAAATGACGGAAATTAAACTCTATTTTCGAGCATGACATGGCATATTTTATGTTAGTTCTTAAAATGGATTTAATTCTATTGATTCAGGTACGCATGGCACCTCCGGGACATGGGACGTCTCGGGAGATAGAAAGACGGGCTGAATGAGTGAACTGCATCTGATGTATTATATGTAAATTCTAACTAGAAAAACCTCCCGTTTTGGGAGTATGTTTTTGTAAATATTTATAAACTTGTTTTTTTTGGAAATAATAAAATGCTTATATAATTAATTTTAGCCTTAACACTGTGTTGTGGGGCCCGAAGTAGGAGGTGACGACCTCATGATGCAGTGTGGCGGTAGCATTTCCAGTATGAGCCAACTGGGGGTGTTACAAGTGTTTGAGTAATAAAACTTACTTATGTGCTAACTTTTCCTTTTCCTTTTTTACTTTTATCATCTCAATGTCGTTTGTGGATATTGACAGTTGATCCTCACCCTCTTAAAATTGGCAGATCGCGAACAAGACTTCCAGTTTGACTACTGTCTATATTGTCTGAAAATTTGCATCACTCAAATTCATATATTTAAACCAAACTTCCATTTTTTCTTTAATTCCTTATATACCATCAATCATAATTGATCTAACCTCAACATGAGCTTTGCTTCGCAATGTAATATCATATACTTTCTTTGTTGTGAGATTTAGGAATGCCAATTCAGAAAGTGAACCACTATTATTATTTCTACTTGAGTCACCAAGTGGTTTTATAAATATCTCAGCTTTTGCATTCTTGGTCCAACGTTTCAAAATATATTTATCGGGTATGCTTGTTTGACAAGTATAAGCATGCACACTCAAAGTATGTTTACATAGCATACTAGTAGTTTCAAATTTGTGACATGTGCATTGAACTTCAACTGTTTGGCTGTCAAGATGAACAATATGACCATTTGAGTCACCAATTTCAAAATCCTCAAACAAGAATTTGAATTTCGAGGTTCTTCAATGCATCCAACTGACAATTATCCTCGCATCTTGCTGCCAAACATTTTAAAATTTTGATGTGTATACACCATAGCAGCTTGTTTTAGCAATGAATTGTGTGGAATGAAAAGTGAAGGCTTTTTATGACGAGATTCAATATCATTTGTCTTCTTCTTTCCCTCAAATGCTTTAAAACTGTTCATAGCTATGAACACAATATAGAAAGTGGACGTGCTATTCCCAATTTCAAATTTCAATGTTGTGTTAGTGTCTTCACTTCGAGACGTTGCCATAAGTCCCGCAAAAAATATATTAACACTAAAAGCTTTTGACCACTTTTGTCTTATTTTATACATCATAGAAAACCAAATCCTTTTTTCCAACACCATAATCATCCACAAGTATATTCCATGTTGCTTCAAACTCATCTTCAAATTTACAGAAATTCATGAACTTTTTCCACAAAGATTTGAATTTCACAGTTGTTTAAATCTCCAAAATGCGAAGAAGAATTTTGTCCAATATGCCATTGACATAATCCATGAAAAACATCGAGAAACTTACAATGGATTGCATTCATCATTGCTTAACATTGATAAGTGAATATCACTTTAGGTTGCTGGTTTCCCATCGACTCAAGAAATACCTGAAATAAACATTCAAATGATCTTTGTGTCTCATCTGTCAAGAATGCAAAACCAAACATGATATTCTAATTGTGATGATTAATACCAACAAAAGGGCACACACCAATCCATATTTGTACAGTATGTGGTGTCAAAGATAATAACATCCCCAAAGTAAGAATAATTACCTAAACACTGAGAACCTCTAAAAAGCAAGTTTAACATAGTAATGTCATCATCATCTACTTCCATATTCCAATAAAAATTTGGCCCTTGAATTGATTTTTTCCTAAAATATTAAACCACTGAAATTGCATCTCCACCATCAATTTTCTGTCCTTTTCTTCTTTCCCGTGTAGCTTCATCAATTGCATATCTTTCAGTAAACCCAAGATTATGCTCTCCATGTGCTATAGTCTTCACTAACTTGTAAGTTTTAGTGGGTTGCATACCGACATTTACTAAAGTACTATACACAATTCTATGATTTTCTGTTAATCTACGTTGTGAACACAACAAATGAATCTCATCGTGATCATACAAAACATTATTATGCTCTTGATTAAAGATTGCAATTCTCCATAAATTTCCCTCAGTACGAGAAATTTTCAATTTTACACTACATCCACATCGAAAACTTGTTTTTTTCATAATTACTTACCTTTTTTGTAGATTTTTATCGTTTTTTACACCTTCACAAGAACAATGGTAGCATTTTTCAATTAAAAAATTGGATTTCTTTATGCTATAAAGATCTTTTTCCTTTCTCACGTTAAATCATTTCATACGAACATATTCTGAATATAAAACATACGTTGTAGCACCATCTTCTACAATTTGACCACGAAAGAGTTTATACTTTATTTCTTCAATTGAAAAACATTCTACTTCTGCATTCTTTATAATGTTAGGATCCACATTATCTAAATCCAATTCAGCATAAGCTTCACTGGTAAAATTCAAGTTTATATCCATTTATAAAATAAAATGCAATGACATCAATTCCAGCCAAAAAGCATAGCCACTAGATGATACACATAACATAACATTGGCTTGTATAATAAGACCAAATGCTTGTGTGGAAGCTTACTGCAAAAAAATTAATAAAGTAATTACTGAAATTTTTGTCATTATTTCGAAAATCATACATAAAATTTCAAAAACAAAATGAGAGAAAGAAAAAAATAAATAAATCAACCTTAAGAATGGTGAATCTATTCTTTATCAACAAATAATTTCTTCCGTTGGTTCTATCTATGGAAAGGAACACAAATCCACTAAACCCAGGAAAAAATTAGGAATGTGAAATTGAAAAAAAAAAGGATATAGACTTCCGTCATATTGGAGCGGGAGAATGTGAAAATATATTATGCAAGAAAGAGGTTAGAAAATTGTAGGATTTGAGAGTTTTTAATTATGAGTTAAATTATTTATTAATATAAAAAACAATATATTAAGATATAGGCTAAATTGCACAAAATCCACCCGTGATTTCATGAAATTACACCAAATCCTCCATACTTTTAAAACTGCGTCAAACTCCCTCGTGGTTTCATAAACTTTGCGTCTAACCCCTCAACGGTCCTTATTTAACAGTATTTGACCTAAATGTGTTCAAACTGCGAATAAATTTTAGAACCTCAATTTCTAAACCCCTAAAATTACAAATATATTTATTTTTTATATATTTACCCTGAAAAAATAGTAAATATACTAAAAAATAGTTATTTTTTTTCTCAGGTTTTAAGAGTTTATTTTTACTATTTTTTTAGGGTAAATATATAAAAAAATAAATATATTTGTAATTTTAGAGGTTTAGAAATTAAAATTCTAAAATTTATTGACAGTTTGAGCGTATTTAAGTCAAATATTGTTAAATAAGGACCGCTGAGGGGGTTAGACGCAAAGTTTATGAAACCACGAGGGAGTTTGACACAGTTTTAGAAGTATGGGGATTTGGTGCAATTTCATAAAACCACGGGTGGATTTTGTACAATTTAGCCTAAGATATATAATCTGAACCGGACCAGTATAATATTTTAAAAACTACTCTCTCTATTTTAAAACAATAGTCTCATTTTGTCATTTTTGTCCTTAAAAAAACATTAGTTTCATTTTTATTTTTAGTAACCAACTCCTCATTTTTTAACAAAATTATTCTCATTTTTTACAATAATTATATATAGTAGGAATATTTTGATATTTTAAAAATATTTTTATATTAACCATCGATATAGGAAATATTAAATATATATATATATATATATATTTTACAGCCGGCGCGGGGGCAGTGGTCTTGCAGCGGGTGCAGGGGCCACTAAACCGGCTATAGGCAGCGCGATCGGCTCTTATTCTTGATGCGTGGAGACGGTCCGGTCCGGTCCGGATCGGAGCGAGCGGCACAGTTCACAACTTGACTGTGAACAAACACTCTAGTGTGTAGTGGAGAGTGCAGAAGTTGAGGCAGTTTCGAAACCCGAAGGGGAAGATGCTCCCAATTTCCAACAATGGCGACGAGAAGACGATAGATGACATGCATGCGCACACAGAACACACTTAAATGACACATATATTACATATATATATATATACACACACAATATACAGAGAGAATATCTACACTTATCACAACTCACAACCCTATGCGTCTGCCCACTCCTACACACTCTCTCTCTAGAGCCCCTTCGTTTTGTCCGTCCGAAACTCCTAGTGGACTCAAATGTTGGACCATACTGTATCCTACTATTCTACGCCGTAGCTTTGGTGCGATTTACGAATTTGTGGTTGTATCAAACCAGTTGGGCGAAAGCCTGACGTCTAGAATCGGAGATTTCCCTCAACCCCCTTTTGAAATCGAAGCTAAAAATCGCCGTGATCTATGGATGCTTTGGGAGTTAGTTCACTTCCCATTTCGTATGAATTCCGGGTAAGTTTTCCGAATCGTTTTCTCATCCGGCTTGTTTACTTTGCGTCTCAGGCACTCGCTTGTTCTATTGTTAATATTTCTTTTGTTGGGCCGATTTTGACCTCTTTTTCGTGTTTATTTCACTGCATCTAGTTTTCCGACTATATATACTCGAAGATAGATTGAATTCACTCCCTGGTGGTAGAAATTTTGGTCTTTTGACTTTCCAAATTGTGTATTTGGATCGTTTGTGGAGAATTGTTGTGCTATGAAATTCAAGAATAAGGTAATTAGTTCAATTGTTGGTTCTGATGTGTTTGAAAGTGTTACGTATTTTCTGCATACTACTTGAAGAGAACCATGGCAGGTCTTTTCTCTGTGTTATTTTATCTTTATTGTGTTAAGATTTTTATGTATTTATAGTTTTTATTATTTATTTATTTATTTATTTTTATTTTTTGAGAATCTGGTGTTGTGCTGAAACCAAATTTTGTTTTCATTTACCAATAGCACAATACCCTGTGATTGACTACAAAAGTGTGGATATGTTAGGTTTACTATCCTCAGCATGTGAAGAGATGGAATCAGATTTCCGTATGGACTTCTGAACTTCGTAACAGCTTGTTTACTCCAAAGGATGAGCTATTCAAATTCAACTCAATCCAAATTGTGTCTTAAATCATTTACCTAGCATTAGAGATATGGGCAAATTCTATTATGGAAATATTGGAACTCATAATATGTGATTCTAGTTTATTTTTGATTAATGTATATCTTTGGCATAAACTCTATCTTCTAGATTTGATATGTTCTACGACCAAGCTGGAATTTTTGCTTTAACAGCTGTATAAGTTCTGTTTCTTATCTATATATTCTTGTAATACTTTCAGAACTCTAATCATACTTCTTTTTTATTACTGCGGCAATGTGCAGAAAGAGACATGGAAGCATACACTCATTTTGTCATTTCAAAGCCTTGGGGTGATATATGGCCGCTTGAGTACAGCTCCATTGTATGTAATGGAATCAATTCGACCAGGGGATATTAGGTCTCCTGATGAGATACATGAACTCTTCTCATTTGTATTCTGGACTTTAACTATCATCCCCTTGGTCAAGTACTCCTTTATTGTGTTGAGGGCTGATGACGATGGAGAAGGTAATTGTCTTGAAAACTGTTGGTATCAAATCAAGGCTATGTTATGATAAGATCCATCTAGAATTGCTAACCTCACGGATCCTTTCAGGTGGCCCATTTGCATTGTACTCATTACTCTGTAGACATGCAAGTGTTGGACTAATTCCATGTGATAAATCTTCTGACAAGATTTTGCATCATGAGGAACACAGCCCTTCCAAGAAAACACTGGAAAGTAAAGCTAGAAGAACTCTGGAAAAGCATAAAAGCTGTCACTATCTATTGTTCTTCCTGGCTTTATTTGGTGCTTGCATGATTTTGAGTGATGCAGTTCTTACACCTGCGATTTCAGGTGCGTTGTTAATTGTTATACTTCTCCTTGTTTTTGCTATAGTACTTATTGATGTTTAAGGAACTTTACTGAGCAATGTAGTCGTCAATATCATTAAACTTGACACAATAATCTACACTTCTCTCTGTTTTCTGATCAGTGTTGTCAGCAACGTCAGGCCTTGGAAGATCATTGGCAAAAATATCTGCTAAATGTAAGCATTTACCACATTTATGGAAAAATGTATAAAAATCTGCGGATCATTTTAACCTTACTGTCAATGAACTAATATTTGCTTGATTGTTTCTCCACCAGTTATCACTTCTGATCATGCAAAAGTCCATGTGGCAAAGACCCTGAAGAAATGTAAGTTGCTCGTGGAATCTAATGTTTTTATTTTTTTTATTTTTTATGAAGCTTCTTCTTCTGCATTACTTCTTTTATGAAATTCCTTGCAGTGACTGACTAATCTTAATTTGTGGCATAATATGTTGGACTATAATAACTGTTGAATCATTCTATCGAAATATATTAGTGTGTGAAATGAGCTGCTGAATGATCTTTATGTTGATAACATGTGAAGTAGTGCACGACAGTCTAAGGCTTGATTAGATAAGGATATATGATATATCTACTGCATGGGCATGCCAAAATTTGCAGTGCTTAAAATTTCCGTGAGTTGTTTGATTCTAGGTTCGTAAATAGCACAAGTCATTTAGGTTTCTAGCTTTGAAGGATTGCATTGGATTAATATTGTTTAGTCTAAGGACGTGTCTTTTCAATTGATTTCAATCAATCACATACAACACGAAGTATGCATATATATGTATACATAAATTAACCCAGTGCTCAGCACATATACCATCTAATTCTAATACTATCTAAACCCCTTTTTATGTTGGAGCATATAAAATGTATGAGCCAAATTTGCCTCTTAAATACTTGATATGAAGACCTCTTAAGAGATTTGGTGAAAATGTTGGCAGACTGATAATTGGAATATACATTGTTAGTACTAGTGCATCCATATAACACCTTCTTCTAGATAAAGTGGCAATCGTCCCTGTATTTTTTTTGAAACAATCTGAATCGCAACTTGGTTATCCCAAAATATTCATCTCAGAGATGATGATCAACTTACTTCTGAATGTCATTGTTTGATCCAAATGAGCTCGCAGGTGGCTAAAGCTGTAGCCAAGGTTATCACGGCGCCCTATTGTGGCGCAGCGCCTATTGACCGCCATACCGCTATGGCGACGAAATGGCGAACACAACACACTATGTATAAATTATATATATTTTGTAGTATAAGTATTAAATACTTTAACTAGGCAAACAAAAATATATAATAAATAATAATGCAATACACTTATACTATGATAGTATGAATAAAAAAGTAGCACTACTAGAGTGCAATCTGAATGGAGTCTGAGTCTAGAATGCTGAAGCATTCAAACTATTGAAAGTCTAAACCTCTGAATAAAAACATTCAGTGGGATGAAATGGCAAACAAAGTGGTGGGATGAAACAGCAAAATGAAGTCGCAGACAAGGAGAGAGCAAGGGGATAGGTAAGAATGGCGAGTTAGGGTTTGATCGAGCTCAAGGGTTTAGGAGCTGAGGAAGGTGTGGTTTAGGGGCCTGGTCTGACCTGCGCAGGAGACTCAATTTTTGGGCTAACCTGGATAGCTCCATGGCGTTGTTGAGGCATCGCCAAGGCATCTCCAAACAACTTTGCTTAATATGGCGAGGCAATGTGTCCCGGCGCTTCCCAAAAAGCGCATGGCGTCGCCATGACAACACTGGCCGTAACTCGATATTAAGCTTCAACATAGATCTAGCTCAAACTTTTGCTGCTTACTTTTCCATAATATAAGATTGCTAAATGCAATATCCACTTGTAAGTTTTCTATCATATGGTAATCCTGCCTAATTAACATCCAAATATCCAATAACATGGGCGTGATCATGATTCACACATAATAGTCATTGACTATGTAGCACCCCGGTCGGCTCAAGCTGGAGTATCACCACCATGCCACACCGGAAGGTTCATTCATCAACCAACGAGCTTTACGTTGTGGCGCTAAAGCTAAAAATACCCAACACAAACAAGAAAATAGAAATTTAAAACTAAAGCGCACCGGCTTAACATTTGAATTAAACAAGGTCCGAGTCAAAAGTATAAGCCGAAAATTAGTTCAAAGGACATTAATTCTTAAACATTAATAATAGATTTCAAAAGCATCCTAAAAGATAAGATAGTTCTAATTCTCCCCAATGGATCATGTGATGTGGATGCATCATTTAGGTATAACGGAAACACCATCACTTACAAAAAAAGGTTTGTAGAAAGAGGGTCAACACGAAGGTCAAATAAGTGCAATTAATGAAAGATAAATTAATACGGTATAAGTCATGATTCACGTGTAAATGCCACAATTATTTGAAGAAGATAATTTGAATAAGATGGCATATATCATATAAAGATAACTCATAGACACGAGTCTTTTAGCGTCTCCCTTATGTCTCCCTTTTATTCTCAAGGAATTGTGATGAATACATCACGAGAAAACTCCACTAGGCCTTAATTAGGGTCGGCTTGACCCGGTTTTCCAACCTTATTACTTCGTATGACACGTCACATAGTTACACATAACAAGTGTAGGGTCACAACTCTCAAGAAAAGCTCCACAATATGTACATAAAGGTTCGAAACCTAAAGTACATGTAAATTAATTTATTTATTAGTTTGTGAGAGGCGCCAAACGGCCCACAACCCTTTAGTTTCCAATATAACATACCAAGAGAGGACTGTACGTAATCCATCACGGATGACGGTCTAATGACCTTCTCATTATGAATGACGGGTACTTCGGAATCACCATAAAGGGAACCCGCCATCTTTCTCCCTCGGCTAGCCCATATGGGTTCTAGTTCGAGGTTAGCTAGTTATCCTAAAATACCGATATACCCTCATGTGTCACAGAGGTGGAAGACTATGCCTTATCATCTAAACAATCGATGAGTTGATCGGACTCGACGGGTAGTTTTAATTACCAATTTGACCCAATATTCAATATGTTATTAGGCAAATTTCAAAACGTGAGCTTTAGACTCAAAACATTTAAATTACCAACATTTAACCAAGCAAAAAATAGGATATTGAAATCCAACAAGTTCATTATAATCTTACTCTAATCCAACATTTGAATAATATGTCCATCCCAATAGGCATAATCTAATTAAACAAAATCATAATATTTAAACATAATCATAAATCTTTTTCCAAAAACCATAACTAGGTCAGGGCAAAACTAGGGTTTCAAACCCATTCTACAAATTCTACAATTTTCAATTTAAAATATTATAATAATCTTCACATATAATCAACTTTCTAGAAGAAATTAGCAAAACTGAACACTTTTACAGGGCAAACTCATTTGAAAATAATTATGAAAAATATCAACAAAAGGGGTCTAGGGGTTAGAATATATCAATTATCTAAGATTAATCCTCGTTACCTTAAGAGAAGAGACCAAAAAGAAGAGTTTTGGAGAAGAAAACCTCCAAAGAAGAAGAGCAGAAACGCTCGGTGGCTGGAGAGGCTTCCTGTTCTGCCTCTCTTTCTTTTCATAAACATAATAGACTTCGCCCTAAACTTATTTTTTTAATTCCCTTGGGCCCAAATTGGTCCAAACACTCTAATTACTTTTAATTTAAGCTAATTACTTCATTTTTTACACCAAAAGTCCAAAACAAATAAGCCCAAAATAAAATTGTCTGGCTGCAGCATCGGATTCCGGCAAGTTCCGGTGAACTTCCGTCGATTATTTTTATGTGAATTAAAGGGACCCCAAATAAATAAGAATAATAAATCTTAAACTGGATATAAACGGATAAAGAATTGTCTTACAATAAGTAGAATACAATGCTTCAATCTTTCAATTTGCGGGTGCAAGTGATCAATTCAATCCTTCACTTTTCAATGCAATTGAGAGGAGAAGCCACGGAGAGAGAGATAGAGGGGAAAGAAGCAGTGTGAGTAAACAGCATGGGCAGTGAGCAGGCAGTACGTAGAAGCAACAACATCGAACTTAGAGAAGCATAGTGGCTCTAATACCATGTGAAATTGTCTATTTAATTGATTTCAATCAACCACACACACACACATATATTGACATAAATTAAACTGATGGACCCAGTCCATATACTATTTAATTTTAATACCATCTCGTAAGACTGTTATTTTTATTATATTATTATTTTATTTAACGTCAACAATGCTTATGCAAAAGCTCGGTATATTCATAGGAAAGCTGAATATTTTTCAGGTACTTATCTGACCGGTATATGTGAGCATGCCTATTAAACTAATCATGGTTAAACTTGTTGATACCATTTATTCATTTCTGATCTTTTGAAGCTGATGTGTCCAGATGTACCAACCCCTGCTGCCTGTGCTATCTTAGTTTGCTTGTTCACTTTTCAACATCACGGGACCAAGAGAATCGGGATTGTATTGGCTCCTATTGTCATCACATGGCTCTTCTTCATTGGCGGGTTCGGTCTGTACAATATTTTTCATTATGATATGCACATCCTTAATGCAATATCTCCAGTATACATGCTGAAGTTCATAAAGAAAATAAGTCTCAGACACTGGAAGCTACTAAGCAGCATAATTTTATGCATTGCAGGTCAGTTCAATCTGCTAGAACTAGTAAATTCTCCTGCTCAATCTTTTTTAGCCTGTGCCTATTTTGATTGATATTAACTTATAAAAATTATGATTTTGTGCTACCCCAATGTAACCAGGAACTGAGTCAATGTTTGCGGATCTAGGTCATTTTTCTAAGAAATCGATTAAGGTATGACTTGCATGGTACTTGTATTATGTAGTTTCTTAGTAAAAGTATAAATTATTTGATGCAGATTACCTTCATCTGCTTCATATATCCGATCCTTTTGGTAACATATGCCGGACAAGCAGCATTTATCTTCAACAATTTTCGTGTTGAAGATGCCTTTCATCTCAGCGAATCCATACCTAATAGTAAGATTTGTTCTTTTTTTACTGTTTACATTTCCTTATTTGATAATTGTCTCTGTCTAAGTACTCTTACGATTGGTTCAATCAATTATCAGAGAGTCTTCAACACATATTTGCGGTGTTATCACTGTTTGCTTCAGCTGTGGGAAGCCAAGCTACCATTACAGCTGGGTTCTCCATCATAAACCAGTGCCAGGCTCTCAATTGTTTTCCCAGAGTGAAAATTGTCCATACTTCAGAACAAATACTAGGGCAAGTTTATGTTCCAGATGTGAACTGGTTGTTTATGATATTGAGCTTAGCATTCACCATTGGTCTTCAGGATGTTTCCCAACTCGGAAAAGCAACAGGTACGACTTCCATCCAACTAGTGTTCTGTCAAGTTCCTAATTCTCCTGACTAATAGCTTATGAATGCTTAATTCATCAGTCAAGGGACAACACAATACTCATTAATTTGGCTTTGTCCCACTCTTAAGAACTGACTGATGTTTCTTTTGAAAAATAATAAACTTTTCAATTGTACACATATATATTTTTGAATGACAATCTTATCTAAAACCTTAAGCTAGCGGGGATATGCATCATTATATTACTTCCTGCATCCGCCAAAAACTGCATTAGTTTTTCTTTTTTGGCTGTATGCTAAATGTAGAGAAATAAGGGAAAAATAAAGTTATATTATTCCAAAAAGCAAAAAGAAAAGTACATATATATAACAAATTAGAAAATCTATCATAACTTAACTAACTAAATAATAGATATACATGTAGATATAGATAAAGATATAAATATGGATATGAACCTAATATATCTAACACTCCCCCTCAAGCTGGAGTGTATAAATCATACGATCCAAGCTTGTTGCAGATGGACTGGGATCTAGAACCTCTCAGGGCTTTCGTAAATATGTCTGCAAGTTGATCATCTGAGGGCACATATTTAGTATCTATATATCCACATAACACTTTTTCTCTGATGAAGTGACAATCTATTTCGATATGTTTAGTCCGTTCATGAAATGTTGGATTTGATGCAATGTGTAGTGTTGTTTGGTTATCACACCGTAACTTCATCTTCCTTACATCATAGAACTTGAGTTCACAAAGCAATTGTTTGATCTAGAGAAGCTCACATGTAGCTAAAGCCATAGCACGATATTCAACCTCAGCACTAGAGCGTGCAACCACATCTTGTTTCTTACTTTTCCAAGATATCAAATTGTCTCCAATAAACACGCAATAACCAGAAGTAGAACGCCTATCGATTGGAGACTCCGCCCAATCAAAATCTGAATATCCAACGATTTTAGAATGACCATGATTTCTAGAAAGTAATCCTTTTCCGAAAGATCCTCTAATATACCTCAAAATAGTGCCTTCCAATGAGAGTCATATGGAGACTGTATGAATTGACTCACTACACTTACTGCAAATGATATATCTGGTCGGGTGATAGTAAGATAATTAAGCTTTCCAACTAGCCTTTATATAATCCATCATCAATATCAGTCAATGGCTCCTATGTTCTGGAAGCAATTTTGTAATTGGATCCATAGGGGAATCCACAACTTTACTTTCATTCATACCTGTTTATTCCAACATATCAAGAACATATTTTTTTTCTGAGATAGGATAACATCATTATTCGATTGGGCAATCTTAATTCCTAAGAAGTACTGTAGTGGTCCCAAAGTCTTTGGTCTGAAAATGATTGTGTAATTGCTCATTTAACTTTGTAATACCATCTATATCATCTCTAGTGATGACAATATCATCAACATAGACAATTAAGTAAATGCATCGCCCTTCTAAATTATGCTTGAAGAATACGGTATGATCAGACGAACATTGTGTCATACCAAATTCTTTAATAGCAAGATTGAAACATCCAAACCACGGCTGTGGAGACTATTGCAAGCCATAGAGTGAACAACGAAGGTGACATACAAGATCAGACTCCCCTGAGCAAAAAACCAGGAGGTTGCTTTTGAAGCTTACAATGCAAAAAAGCATTTTTAATGTCAAGCTGATGAAGGAGCCAACCACGCATTGCTGCCATAGAAAGAAAAAGACGAACAAAAGATATTTTGGCAACATGAGAGAAGGTTTTTGTTCATACACTTGATTAAAGCTTTCTGCAACAAGTCGAGCTTTAAGTCGATCAATGTGACCATCAGGTCCAACTTTGACTGCATAAACCCATCGGTAAGCTACGGGTGTTTTTCATGGCGGTAACGGAACCAATTTTCAAGTATTGTTAGCATGCAAAATAGATATTTCCTCCATCATAGCTTGACACCACCCTGAATGACCCAAAGCCTCACGCCAAGAGCGAGGAATAGTGACAGAGTCTAAAGCAGTTACAATACTGCACATGGAATGAGATAAACGGTGATAATTAAGAAAATTATAAATAGGATTCGGATTACGAGTGGACCGAGTACCTCGACGTGGAACAACAGGTGACTGAGGAGTCGCAATCGGGGAAGGTGATGGAACCAGGGATGAGTCATTAATAGGCGCATGTGATGGTGAAATAGGTATGTTTTGACGTTGCCATGTATGACGACTGTAGACTTGAAGTGGAGGCTTAGGAATTGGGACAATTGGAAGAGGAGTCACAGTTATTGAGGATGGTAGTGAGGATGGAGATGATGACTCTGTAAAGTATGGTGATGACTCAAAGAATGTGAGAGTACCAAGGAAAACACATTTGATGGATCGAGGACGTAATTTGTCCAAACTAGGAGAATGGTCCTGAACAAAGCACGTACAACCAAATACTGCAAGCGGTTGAAGGTAATAGAATAACATTAGCCCAAAAATGAAATGGAACATTATAATGTATGAGGAAAGTACAAGCTGCTTCTATTACATGACGGTTCTTACGCTCAGCCACTCCATTTTGTTGGGGAGTTGAAGGACAAGATGACTGATGAATAATTCCTTCAGATGAGACAAAATCACTAAATGAGTGAGAAAAATACTCTCTACCATTATCACTTCTTAGAACCTTGATAAATGTATGAAATTGTGTACGAATTTCAGCACAAAACTTTTTGTACATAGAGAGTAATTCAGATCGATTTTTCATTAAATAAACCCAAGTACATTGAGAAAAATCATCAATAAACGTAACAAAATATTGAAAATCAAGAGCTGAAATAGTACGACAAGGCCCTAAATATCAGAGTGAACCAGTGCAAAGGGCTCAGATGCTCAACTATCGACGCGCTTGGGAAAGGAAGTACGAGACTGCTTCCCAAGCTCACATGACTCCCAAGGTAACGAACTTAGTGACGAAAAATTAGAAAAAAGACATTTTAATTTAGATAGATTAGGGTGACCTAATCATTGGTGGAACAATTCAGGAGACTCAATAAAGGATATAGCAATGGTAGAGGTATTGCGAGGGGATTCGTTTAGGTAATATAGCCAATGAGACTCACGTCTGGTACCAATCGTCCGCCCCGTGCTATGATCCTGAATAACAAGAAAATCACTAGTTAGTAAGATAGAACAATCTAGATCTCTATTGAAACGACTAACCGATATGAGGTTAAATGGACTTTGAGGGACATAAAGAACAAACTGAAGAGGTAAACTAGGTAACGGACATACTCTACCAACAACTTGAGGGTAAACTTTATCACCATTAGCAAGAGTAACATGAGTTAGTGAATTTATTGATGAAATGTAGAAATTAAGGAGGGATTACCAGACATATGATCAGTTGCACTTGAATCTAGGACCCATGGTCTAAGAGAAGTCTGAGAGACGCCAATAACGAGAGTATGGGTATTAGGTGAATCGGCAGTACTGGTGGAGGATAACTGCTGAGATGCTTGATACTGAAGGAATGCAGCATAATCTGCTCAACGTAAGGTAATACTGTTAGATGAAATTCCAGGCGAATCAGTAGCAACAACATTTGTCGAGCGAGGGTGTTATCCTTGTAATTTGAAGCAACGTTCTCATGTATGTCCGATCTTATGACAATAACTACATTCTGGACGACGTCTACTGCGATCTTGACTTCCTTGCCCACCACGATTTTTATCACGATTATCGGAGCTAGGATTTTGAGACACCAAAGCTCAACTATCAATAGTATTAGTAGATAAGGTAGCCATTGGGGTGTTACGGCTAGAGGAGAGTCGTACTACACGAACAAGAACATCATCCGACTTGCGTATAGTAACACCTCCTAGTATCTGGTCTCGAACATGATCGAGTTCAGGTTTAAGGTGAACAAGAGCTAATATGGCAAAGAATTTTTCCCAACCAGTCTCTGAATTTGCAGAACGGAACAAAACTTTTGTCGAATTACTCACCTAAGTGGGAAGATCAAGTGCGTGATCTTTAAATAAAACGAGAGTAGAGACTACATCATAGCGCTGAATATCATTGCTGTAAATGAAAGCATCCTTATTCCAAACTTCATAACATGTTTCAAATGATCGATACCTGGGGAGTATGGTTGGATCTAAGGAATTCCATAGTAAGGCACATAATTGGGCATCAACTTTTGCCCATTCAGATCGGCATTCTTTTTTAATTTCTGACTCTCCCTCTTTGCCAAAAACTACACTAGTTTTTCTTTTTTCGTTGTATGCTAAATGTAGAGAAATAGGGGAAAAATAAAGTTATATTATTCCAAAAAGCAAAAAGGAAGAGTACATATATATATATATATATAGCAAATTGGAAAATCTATGATATGGATATGGATATGGATATGGATATGGATATAGATATAGATATAGATAAAGATATAAATATGGATATGAATCTAATAAAACTAACACTAAACTTATACATAAATCATAATACATTTATAGTAAAAAAATTTCATCCCGCTCTGATACTATGTTAAATAGTCACCTCACCTAAAAACTTAAAACTAGTTGAGATATGCATCATTATATTACAAATAATATAGTCTACCGGTATATATCTTTACATATATGTGTTTATACTAATTAGTTACAGTCAAAACTAATGTTTTACCTGTTTTGGCAGCCTTGGCTGTTACTTGTGCTATGCTCGTCACAACTTGCCTGATGTCACTTGTGATTGCGTTGTACTGGGAAAGGAGCTTGTTCGCATCCATCTCTTTTCTACTGTTTTTTGGCTCCATCGAAGCAATGTATCTCACAACGAGTCTGGTTAACTTCTTGCATGGTGCCTGGTGCTTAATCATCTTACTCTTGCTCTTCATGATGATCATGGCTGCCTGGCACTACGGAACTCTGAAGAAATACCAGTTCGACATAGAGAACAAGGTATCAATTGACTGGCTAACAGACTACAGCCCCGGTCTTGGTGTTGCTAGAGTACCTGGCATTGGTTTCATCTATTCCGACATTGAGATGGGAATCCCGGCTTTCTTTTCTCATTTCATCACAAATCTCCCAGCCTTTCACCAGGTACTCATTTTTGTGTCATTCAAGTCCTCACCGGTGCCATATGTCGCCGACAACCGGAGATACCTCATAGGCAGGGTTGGCCCAAGAGAATACAAAATATATCGTTGTATTGTCCGGTATGGATACCGCGACAGCGTCAGGGACACGGATGACTTTGAGGACCAAATAATCAGCTCTATTGGGGAATACATTACCAGGGAGGAATATGACTGTGAAGCACTGAGTTCACCCGAAGGTAAAATGATCGTTCTTGGAGGCCTGAGGGAGGACGGAAACGCACTCATTCCTGTGGATGATACTATCAGCACGACCTCCTACTCTCCAAAATCCGGAGCAAGTGAATCCAAGAAGCATCTTCCGGATGTGCCATCTGGCAGTTTGGAGAATCCTAATACCGGCGGCAGTAGGAAGAGAGTTCGGTTCATGCTGCCGGCGAAGAGCCCTCGTATGCTGGCTTCGGTGAGGCAGGAGCTTCAGGAGATGATCGATGCCCGCGAAAGCGGGACTGCGTATTTCTTGGGTCAGTCGCATTTGCTGGCAAGAAAGGGGTCGAATTTCTTCAAGAAGCTCCTGATCATGATGTATGTTTTCCTCGACAAGAACGGCCGGGAGCCGCCGGTGGCGCTCAATATCCCCAATGCTGCGTTGTTGGAGGTTGGTACTGTTTATACAATCTAATCATTGTGTTGTGTAATTTGTGGAAGAGAGCTAAACTGGCTTTGGCTTTGGTCTCCCGACGAGCTTCATTATGATTATGATTATGATTATAATTATAATTATGATTGTTGTGAGACCGTCTAATTATATATAATCCATGTGTACATTTACTTGCATACATATATATATATATAAGAATCCCTAATTTGTGGCGGTTACGGTGCTGATATAATTTCAACATAGAATAGAATTAATATTTTATATCGCATGCGTTGTTTGTTGTATTTTTATATGCTAGTTATAATAATTGAACCGTCACTAATTATACAAGGCAATCAACGATTCTCTACTCATGGAAATTAGTTAGTTAAGTGTGGAGCAGTATTAGAGTCCTATTGGCGTGAGGTGCATGGAGAACACAAAAGGGTGTGTTGGTCTTTTGGAGGAGAATGGGAGGGGTTTGGGTGCTCGTTAGTGTGAAAAACTAATTATGTTCACTTATTTTATTTTATAACTATAGCACCCAAACCCATCCCAGACAGAGCTGAATTAAACTGAGATTGTCATGTTTGAATTCGTCTTATAAGAACTCGTGTTTGTTTGTTACGAGATACAAGTTAAAAATTTGATTTGAATTTGATTTGTTTGTAATTTTTTTTATCTGTGTTCAACTCGGTTCAAAGAGACATTTTGTTTTATTTATTTATTTTTTTAAAAAATAAATTAAATTAATAATAATTACATTTTTATTAATAAATTCAAATAAAAAATATAATTAAATATAATATTTATAAAGATATTTACTTATTAAATATAAAAGTATTTATTTATTTTTTCAATAAATATTGTCGCACATTCACAAATAAGTTCGAGTTCGTTCGTGAACATAACGAGTCAAAATTTATGTTTGTATTTTGCTTATTTAATTTTATGAATGAGCTCTTAGCGAGCTTAGACGGGCCGAACCGAGCCAAGCTCACAAACTGTGTGTTTGTTTTACAGCTGTACTCTCTGAGAAGAATACATTTATTTATTTTTAAAAGGGTAAACTGATCTTTTAGTCCCATAACTGGGTTATCATTTTAGTTTCGTAATTGAAGTCTGTCACAAACTAGTCCGGTAAGTGGAGAATTTTTGCAATTTCGTCCTCTGGCGCCGGAGATGCCTACGTGGCACCCATGTGGCTCGCCGGAGGATAAGTGTTTGTCCAGCAGCAACATCTGACAGACACGTGAATTTTTATTTATTCTTTTAGTTTTTTTAAATTTTTTAATTTTCATTTTTTTAAAAAAATTAATTTTTACAAAAAGGACAAAATAAATAAATAATTTTTTTTTAAAAAAAAATTTCTAAATCTACGTGTCCGTCAATTGTCGCCAACCTAGCCGACACGCGTCCTCCGGAGAGCCACGCGGGTGCCACGTAGGCATCTCCGGTGCTGGAGGACTTAAAGTGCTAAAATTTTTCACTTATAAAACTATTTTGCGATAGGCTCCAGTTACGAGACTAAAATGATAAAGGAATCCAGTTACGAGACAAAAAAAAAAAAATCAGTTTACTCTTTTTAAAACGAGGAATGTGAAAGCAAATGAGTTTTAAGATTGTAATTATTATGCAAGTGAAAATATAAAATGATATATTCTATTAAAATTAGGATGTATTTTATTGTGATTCTATTGATTTTTTTTTTAAAAAAAATGTTTGGATTTTAAAAATACGAACTTGCGAGGGACTAACCCAAAAAATTTGTCTTTAGTTCAAACTTTGGGCTGCAACTAACCTACATGAAATCACTAGTAATTGCCGGTGGTCTGTCATGGGGCAGTGAATGTTTTCGTAGGCGTTGTGTGTTCCAGTTAAAGTAACCAAAAGCAAACAAAAAGGAATATGAATTAATATACTTGTTTGGTTTGATTGAATTAGTAATATAGGGCTAGCTATAATTGCTTCGGTTATGGTGCTGATTTGAAAAAATTAGCATTGTATTTATTATCCAAAATAACACGATCAAAAGTTTAGATAACACATAATCTATATTAATATATTACAAATACAACACAAGAATTAAAAATACATGATATATTTCTACAGAGCACATGACACCCTGATAATTTTTCTAAATAGCATCAATTCAAGAGTTTAGAAAACATCGATCAAGATTGAGAAAATCAATATAGTGCTGATTTCGCACCATAACTTCCGCCAACTATAATTATAACATGCGAACAATATCGTTGATTATAGTTTACCATCACCAATTGGAAGTAACAGAAACATAGAATTTAATGAATGTTAATTGTGGATAATTGAATATCTGTTGATAATGGGTTATATGCATATTTAGGTTGTGGTTGATGTTGTCCACAGGTGGTCCGATCAACGTATGGATCTGGTTGTAGCTGCAGCCCAATCATTATGAAACAAGTGATCTATTTATTGCGGCCCAAGTTGATCAATCCGGCGTATCCCAGAAAGGAATATCATTTTTAGAGGATTTCATTTATTTGAATTAGTAGATTTTATTAGATTTGATTGAGAGAATATCGTAGAGTCAAGATATAGATTTATTTAGAATGGTATTTTCCATATCTGTCGTTCTTACCTTATATGTTGATGAGGTGATGAAACTGTTAATTAGGACAGATATAGTGGGAAGATTTGGAAGAGTGATCATAGAGAAAATTCTTAGGGTAATGATTATCTGGACGTGAGAAAAAGAGAGAGGCAAGATTGAGGGTATAGATGGCTAGTTGAGAAACCTTAGAGAGAGAAGTGAGTACTCTAGAGGTAGCATCATCTCGACATGAGAAAAAGAGAGTAGGCGAGATTGAGGGTATAGATGGCTAGTTGATAAACCTTAGGGAGAGAGGTGAATGCTCTAGAGGTAGCATCTAGTACAACTCTATTGCAAGCTCGATTTGTTCTTGATGAAGAGTGATATTGCTTGGGTTCGTATCCCCCATACGTAGATCTTCGATGGCCAAACTGGATTAACAATTTGATTGTCATTTATTTTTCGATTGCAGTGTGTGTGAGCGGTTTGAACCTTCCACGAACAACATAACTTTGTTTGTGATGTTCAAATTTCTTCTGCGAAACTATGGTGCAGTTTTGTGCTATTAAATATTTAAAGCGTTTGGGACCAACAATTGGTATCAAAGCAGGCTTTTCGATATTTTGAGAAGAGATCCATAGCCATGGTTGGAAAAGAAGGCAACTCAATCACAAGACCTCCTCTGTTCGATGGAGAAACTTATCAACACTGGAAGATGAAAATGAAATTTGTCATCATGTCCCTTGGAGAAGACGCGTGCAATTCAGTTCTAACTGGGTGGACTCCTCCAAAAAAAGATCATGATCGAAGGATGAGCAAAATGATAAACATATCAGATTCCTACTGTTGTGATTGAGAAATCAATAGTACAATACACTTCAGAAGAAAAGGCCCTATGCAATGCAAACTCCATAGCAGACAATGCAATTATCAACGGTGTCGAGCAATTTTTCTATCAGATCATATCAATGTGCAATACTTCCAAAGACGTTTGGGACGCACTACGCAATACATTTGAAGGGAACGATAAGGTTAGACGATCCAAGTTGCAGATGGTAGAGAGAGTTTAACAACCTACAAATGAAGGATGATGAAACTATGTTTGAGTATATCAATAGATTAAAGAGCGTTGTAAATCGTGCTCACAACTTGGGGCTTTTGTATGAAGAAAGTAAGCTGGTTTTTAAAATGATGCGCACAGTGTCTCAAAAGTTCTACAACAAAGTTTCTACTATTGAAGATTTGGAGAAGACTGAGACAATGTCCTTGAATGCACTTATTGGGACATTGTAGACTTACGAAATGATTTATACCAAACCAAGCTCCAAGAAACAAGTTGCATTCTCATCTGAATAAACAACCTTGTGAAAAACAATGAGTTGTCTCTCATTTCGAAAACATTGTTTCGGATGCTTCGGGAAAGGGAAGCTTGTCAGATTTGGGGGAACAAAAGTCAGACTAATATACGATTTACAGAGAGTGCTAAAAAATCTAAAGCTTCAACAAAGTCAGCAGCTCAGAAAGGAGATGCATAGAACAAATTTAAATTCTCGATGAAACCTATGATTCATGATGATGTAATATGCTACGGGTGCAATGGATATAGACATTTTCGATCTGAGTGTGCAACAACTAAAAGAATGGATAAGAAAAACGATGTGTTCAACCTAGAGTGATGAAGAAGATGATGTAGTTGTACTCACACTTCAAGATAAGGAAGACATCAAAAAAGATGATGACAACAACAACATTATCGAGATGGATATAGAGGAGTTGGGTGAAGCTTACCAAGAAATGGTGAACGATCAGAAAGTGTTGATTTCCAGGAATGAATACCTCAAGGGATGTGTGGAAATATTGGAAGTAAAAAATGACTTGTTGATCAATGAAAACACGAAACGAAAAGTCATGAATGATGAGCTATGTGGTGAGCCAGAGAAAACCTTTGACGAGGCTGTTTATTTAAGGATAAAAGTTGAAGAACTTGAATCGGAAAACAAGAAACTCGTGGATGAAAATAAGAGCCAATTGAATAGGAAATCTAAATTTGAGGAAATCTTATCGATTGGGAAGCCATATGACGATCACAGCGGGATAAGCTACACCCATGGTGCTGGAACATCTCGAACCACCTTCATCAGCAGCGGAACGCTCACTAAATCTCTCTCACATAATTCTGAAAATCTAAGGGTGAAATCAAAAGAACTTGAGGAGAAGAAAAATGTCGAAAAGTCTTTTCAACAATCTACAGACTGCGCATATTGCTGGCAAATAGGACATAATGCAAACCAGTGAGCTCATATTGTCTGCGATATACTCAAGGGAAATAGATTAAACGGCCAACTTAAGAGCTGAAACGGAGAATAAAAATCAGATATGAGTGGAGGCCAAATGTGTCATCAAATCTCTACAATGTTGCACCATCTACAGAAAAATCAAATGAAGATATGTCCAACTCAAAAGATGGTGCTACTGATATAGTTCAAGTCATCAATGAACTACCTTCTGATGATGCTGAACCAAAATTTGGTGTGAGGATGAAGTCCGTTGTTGATACACTTCACCACACAAAGGGTTGTGTTAATAATCCCAATGATGGAAGAATTACAAGAGGAAAATCCATAAATTTTTGTGAAGACAGTGGACTGAAGTGTTTTACTTCTA